CCATTAGCCAATAACCATTAGGGTCGCCTTTATGGTCAATGATCCTCCCAGGGAATCTATTTAATAAAATCATAACTCCCGCCGAATGTGATGTTCCATGACTGAAAAAAATAGTCTCCCCATTGCACTTTCCAAAATTTAGTGTCTGCCTCACCTGAATGAGTTTCTTGCAAAAAAAACACAGTTAGCCCTTTGTTCCTTACAGAAAAGAAAAATAGCTTTACGCTTTACGTAATCTTTCAACCACCTAGTATTTAAAGATATAAAGGACAACATTTATATAGAAAAGTACCTAAACCTTTTAACCAATGCACCAATAAAGAGTGTAACGATGAGCAGGAATGAGTAACTTAGTCCTTAACCTTTATAATTAGTGCAAATAACCCCTTAACACTGTAAAGGAATGGGTTAGATGAAAAAGGTATAGCAATGGTCCATTTAAAAAAACAAGAACAACATTACCTTACTTTTTCCCCTATTTTCCTTATTTATAATAACTAAAATAGCTACTGATAGTAGGCTACCAAGAAAGGTGACAGGTGATAAACCTTGTAGAAATAAGCAACAATTAAAGCTGCAAGCAGCGTTGGGCGGGCCCTCGCACTTGTAGCGCGTCTGCGGTGAGCCGGCCGAGTTGCATATTCTGGAGCTCTGCCGGTGCGGCTGTGAATTTCCTACGCGGTTGACGCCGCATGAAGGTGCTATATGTCACTTCCTGTGTCCCCTACGTGGAGCTACATAGCACTTGCCGCTATGAATATAAATCGGTATTGTGTGTAGATGTCTGGGGGGGAGAGTTATCAAGCACGTAAAGTTTGTTTCAGATGTGAGCATGTACACTGAACAATAATGTACCCAAACAATAAAATAAATTCCTTTTATATTTCCCTGCCTTGTTGTTTATGTGTACATACAGAGGAAGAATGTGAGAACAGCACACATTTCATCGTTACTGTGTGTTAGAGCATGGGAGAACAGTGGATACTTTTAATACAGCCCACACCCCTAATACTGTGTAACTATAACAAGTAGAGAACAGAAGAAAAAGATGTTCTTTCTTTACAACTGTCTGCATAGCTTATTCATATTGTGTAATGAATGAAAATAAATAGGCCTACTAGGCTCCTCTCTACTTTGACATTTAAGATTAGCTTTTTGATCCACCTTCATACACATGTGACATTACTGTACAACTTGAGAAAGGTGAGTGTTTTCTGCTCCAGCCTGCCTAAAAGAAAAGCGTTTTGGGGATTAAATGGACTTTATTAGCTGCTGCAGTGCAGGATGAACTCAGAATAGACCCATTTCTCACCTTATTATTCTAAATCATGCAACGAAGAAGAAGAAATGCATAATAAATCCTGGGACAAAATCTGTCCACAAATACTGTACAGCATGTAGTCTGATGATCAAGACTTGTGTTATAGCTGACTTGGGCAGTGAAATGTTTTTTTAATTCATGTGGTCATAGTTGTCCACAACTCAAATCAGAATATAAGAAGAAATGTTTTATACCACCTCAAGAAGGCTTCCTATCAGAAAGGTAGGAAGGTATTTCAAATGTACAACTGCAGTACTTAAATCTAAGTAAAGTAATTTCCCTGACATTTTTGTGTTACTTTACTTTTAATAGACCCATGTAAGAGGTTTTATACTTCCTGTGAGTATAATCCAATCAATCTTATTTCATACTGTATATCCGTTGTGTAATTTGATAAATTGTGTTGTATGTCGTGCTCGCATCTCAGAGAAGACTCTGACTGCAACATGCGTCTTTGTAAAGAGAGAAACAGACAGAAAAAGTCTCTAACTCTGCCTGTCAGCTCGCTCTGCTCCGTTAAAACTGAATTTACCATACAGAATTGAATACGAGTGCACTCCAGATTTAGCTGCAGCCAGCTGACCGTGTGCTTCTCCCTATACCGCAGTTCTGTGTCCATGCATGCAGCAAACTGAAAGCACTGTCTGTCGGTGCTTCTACGTGAAAAGAGAAGGAAGACATTGCTGGTAGTATTGTCTTCAGAGTTGTTAAACACCTCAGCGCACTGAAGGAAGCCATCTGACTGTGTGAGGGGCAAGATCGTTGATGTCTGCAGGCAGAGTAGAGCTCTCCTGTCTGACTGATCCACCAATAGCAGAGAAGATGACCCCTTGAGAACACAGCCCCTCCTCATTTGCATAATGAGGCAGAAATGCATACAAAAATTTAAGACAGGCAGAAATAAATACCATGGGTGAAAATAATAAGGTAAATAAATACAAAGGAGAATAAAACAGACAAAAATATTAAAACACACACATAAATAAATACATTAAAAAAATTTGTAATAAATAAAGTTGAATAAACAAATAAGGTAATTATAACAAAGGTGAATAAGTAAAGGCACTAATTAAAATATAACATTATGTCTCCTTGTATAATTAATTACTACCTACATTTATTTATTTACTTAATTTTTTTGTGTATTTAATTGGATGCTTATTATTTATTGAGCATTTATTTATTTCTGTTTATTTCTGACTGTGTCAGGATCGGTCCTCCATAGCGGGGTGGGAGAGTTATCAAGCACGTAAAGTTTGGTTCAGATGTGAGCATGTACACTGAAGTTACAACAACTTCCTGTGTCATGGCGAAGACTTGATCTCTGACGCCACGCCACGGACACACCCATTGACGAAAACTCGCAAATAGCACAACTTTTCATCTTCAATGCCTTTAGAAGGCACAGCACAAATTTGAGGTCGGTCGGACTAAATCCCTAGGAGGAGTTCGTTAAAGTACGAAGTGTGTAAATCATCCAAAATTTGACGTAAAATTCAAAATGGCCGACTTCCTGTTGATTTTAGGGCATCGCTCCAAGAGGCTTTTTTGTCGTCTGGACAAGATACACGTACCACAGAAAATTCGTGCACGTAGGTAAAACGTGCGGGGGGCTGCTTCGTTAAAAGTCACTTCCTGTTGCCAGCAGGTGGCGCTGACTGTGGGTGAATGTCAGCATGTACATGTGTTCAGGGCGGGACTCTCATCCTACATGTACAGTTTACAACACAGTTTGTTAATGTTACTAATGATGTCTCTTTGTCTTATCTTTTGAGTTGAGTTTAGATGATTGCTTACTTGTCCTAATTGCTTTCTGCTTCACTTTAAATTTGAGCCATTCCCATTTGCTCACAAAGACATATCCAGTTTATTACTTTATCAGTTGAATAGAGCATTTTCCAGTCCTCTAGGCTTTTACCTAAGGATGAGAAGAGATTTTTGTTCTGAGGTTTCCTGTTGTATCCATATAACATATTAAAATGTAGTTTATACTATTAATTTCTGCGGTGACCATTAGCCAATAACCATAGGGTCGCCTTTATGGTCAATGATCCTCCCAGGGAATCTTTATTAAAATCATAACTCCCGCCGAATGTGATGTTCCATGACTGAAAAAAATAGTCTCCCCATTGCACTTTCCAAATTTAGTGTCTGCCTCACCTGAATGAGTTTCTTGCAAAAAAAACACAGTTAGCCCTTTGTTCCTTACGAAAAGAAAAATAGCTTTACGCTTTACGTTATCTTCAACCACCTAGTATTTAAAGATATAAAGGACAACATTATATAGAAAAGTACCTAAACCTTTTAACCAATGCACCAATAAAGAGTGTAACGATGAGCAGGAATGAGTAACTTAGTCCTTAACCTTTATAATTAGTGCAATAACCCCTTAACACTGTAAAGGAATGGTTAGATGAAAAAGGTATAGCAATGGTCCATTTAAAAAACAAGAACAACATTACCTTACTTTTCCCCTATTTTCCTTATTTATAATAACTAAAATAGCTACTGATAGTAGGCTACCAAGAAGGTGACAGGTGATAAACCTTGTAGAAATAAGCAACAATTAAAGCTGCAAGCAGCGTTGGCGGGCCCTCGCACTGTAGCGCGTCCGCGCGTGAGCCGGCCGAGTTGCACATTCTGGAGCTCTGCCGGTGCGGCTGTGAATTTCCTACGCGGTTCCGACGCCGCATGAAGGTGCTATATGTCACTTCCGTGTCCCCTACGTGGAGCTACATAGCACTTGCCGCTATGAATATAAATCGGTATTGGTGTGTAGATGTCTGCGGGGTGGGAGAGTTATCAAGCACGTAAAGTTTGTTTCAGATGTGAGCATGTACACTGAACAATAATGTACCCAAACAATAAAATAAATTCCTTTTATATTTCCCTGCCTTGTTGTTTATGTGTACATACAGAGGAAGAATGTGAGAACAGCACACATTTCATCGTTACTGTGTGTTAGAGCATGGGAGAACAGTGGATACTTTTAATACAGCCACACCCCTAATACTGTGTAACTATAACAAGTAGAGAACAGAAGAAAAAGATGTTCTTTCTTTACAACTGTCTGCATAGCTTATTCATATTGTGTAATGAATGAAATAAATAGGCCTACTAGGCTCCTCTCTACTTTGACAT